CTGGCCTTCCGGGCCTGGAAGACGACCACGCAAGCGGGATCTACCTGGACGTTAGCGGAGGTGGGGAAGGTCACGGTCCGCGGCACGCTCGGCGATGCCGCGATGCGCAGATTCTTGTGTCTCTTCAGACGGTCGCAGAGCAGGCTGTAGATTGCGCTGTAGTGATCGTAAGCGTCGGCTCTTAATGACTGAAAGAGGAAAAGGAAGACGCGGTCAGTTCTTTTTGTCAAGCGACAGAATACGCTCCGCGCCGCGCTGAGGTTGCTCAGCTGGCTAGAGGTGACAAGCAACAACCGCGGCCGCTTGCGCTCCAGCGGGGACAGGCAGGACGCGACCGCCAGCTGTGCCGCCTTACCTGAACTGTGCGCTCCTTGTCCAGCCCCATGTCCGCCATCGCCAGCAGCACGTCCTCGTTCAGCGGCTCCATCTGCCTCTCGGCCTTCAGGTGCTGACACTCTGCTATCAGCTGCAAGAGGACAGACACAGACTTCAGCGCCGACCTTCCCGAAGGCACGCCGAGGAGTCACGGCGCTCCGAAGAACCCAGGCGCCGGGCTCCGGCTGCGAGCCGGCGTGAGCTTTGAGGGCTGACGGCACACCGATTCAGAACCCCGTGCCCTCGGCTCTCAGCGCCAAGGGGGAAGACACAGCGCTCGGAGAGAGAGCTCTCAAACAGCCGAAGCGAACGTTGCAGCGCTACGTGCCCCGAGCCCGCTCGCTTCTGCTCCTCACCCTGTCGAACTCCGCATCAGCCTCCCCAAGCTTCATCCACTTGTGTCTGCAGATCTGCTCCATGGAGAGCCGCTTGCTTGGGTCCAGGACCAGCATGTGGCGGATCAGGTGTTCACATTCTGCAAGGGAGGAGAGGGGCTGGGTAACCCGCGGGGAGGGACGCGACCGCGGCAGGAGGCAGCCTCGCGCGGCAGGGGCGAGAGCGCTTTTTGTCTCTCAAAGCAACGCGCTCCCCTGGAGGAAGTCACGCGCCGCAGAAACATCGCTTCTCCTTCTGCCCTTCGCGCCCGTTCGGTCCCCGACGCGCCCCAGGTAAGGCGGCAGGCAAGGAAGCTTTCAGCTGGGAAACTCCACGCAGCCCGTGCAAAATTATCCCTGAATCTGAGCGCGGGCAACTGAGAACCTACGCACGGCTCGTTCCTAAGTGAAGCTGGTTTTTCTACGTACGACTCGTTCGCGAGTGACGTTGGCTTTAGCTGAGAGTTACTCACGCTTCTCAAAACCAAGACTTATTACTAAAGCGCTCAGAGGCAGTTTTGCAGAGAAAGGACGTAGACGTTCGTCTCCGACGGGGCTACGGCTGGAAATCCACGTGCCGTAACGCTGTAAAACGCTTCTTGTCGAAAAGAGGGATAGCGAAAGCCTCCCTATTCCTAAAGCGCTACGCCGTCTTTAGCATTCACGTTTCCCGAAATTTAGAAAGACTTCATCTTTGCGGACATTTTGCTACGGTATAGGAAGCCGAGACTTTAAATAAGAGTATTTCCGTTTCTAAACTCTAGACTCAGAACTCATTTTAGCTTACGTTACAAACCGCCGTCCAGCGGATAAGCCTCCTGGCATACCACCCCCCTGGCACAATACGTCGCCTGGGAGACTCTAATTTAAGCGCTCCAAAGAACCCGGCAGCGGAGCCGCGAGCGGCGCCCGCTCAGCGCCGCGGCGCCCGCAGCCCTTACCTGTGGACATGAAAAACGGAATGCGGAATTTCCCACTGAGCACCCTCGCCCGCAGGTTCTGCAGCGTGCTCCCGTCGAAGGGCAGAGCGCCGCAGACCAGCACGTACAGCACCACGCCGAGGCTCTGCGTCCGAAACAGAGGTCGCGTCAGCAACGTTAGAGGGAGAGGTCGGCAGACTGCAGTTAATTGCGGTACGTGTCGTTGAAATAGAATAAAGCGATAACAAAGAAAAAGCAAACCCCATTGGAAGGGACCTTGTGGCCGCCTCGGTCCCGGGCCAGCCTAATTCCTCCTTCGATCTTCAAGCCTCATCTGGGCTTTCTCACGATTCTCAGAAGCCAAGGGCTAGAGAAGCCCGCAGCCCCGGCCTGCCCGAGGCAGCCCCGCGGCCGGGGCTCCGGGCAACCGGCTCGCCCAGGGCTGCGGGGCAAGGCCGGCGCCACGGAGGCGGCCGTCCCAAGTCCCCGCGCTGAAGCCCTCTCTGCAAAACCCTCGCAGAGCAGAGCTTGAAGCTGCCTCTCGGCTCTGCCAGATCAAGCCCCGCCGCCCGAGGCAGTCTGCCGTTCAACAGCAGCGAAGCGAACCGCGTTTTCGGGGAACTAAATGAAAACGCGCGTCTGGGCAACTAATGTTTTTGGCGTGGCGCCTCCCGGTCAAGAAAGCGCGCGCCACAGTAGCCAGAATAAAATTCAGGAAGCATCTTCTTCGAAAAACGTTTTTTGCCGCATCAGGGGCCGTTCTCCGAGACACGTACGAAGCGCTCGGGGAGCAACGCCAAACAAGCAGAGCAAAGACGAGATCAAAGCAAGGGAGAAGGAGGTTGATCGCATACCCAAATGTCGACCTTCGGCCCATCGTATTCCTTTCCTTCAAAGAGCTCCGGAGCAGCGTAGGGAGGACTCCCACACCAGGTTTTAAGCAGCTGACCGGGTGTGAAGATGTTACTGAACCCAAAATCTGAAAGAAGAGAAGAGAGCCGATCAGAGGAATACGACCCGCTCCAACTGTCCCAGAAACAAATGGCGTTTAAGCAGTTTGCTGAGCCTAGTAAAGTCACGCACAATCCCGTCACAGACAACCGGTACGCAGACATCGGAGAAACAAGAGGCGGGGAGAGCAACGCCGAAACCACCCGGGCAGCGCGCAGCTCCCCTCCGTGCTGAGACAAAAGACGACCACGTTATCAACAGCGGCACATCCACGTCACGCAGCGCAAAACGCACCCCGTCTAAGCAGCCTGCTGCAAAACACCAGGCCTTAGGCCCGCTTCGCAGGCTACAACCCCTCTGCTGCGGCTTAGCGGAACACAAAGATCTTCCCCAAAGTTCGCCCTTCGCTTTTCAGCCACGCGATTCCCGCGCCGCAGTCGACGCGCCAGCGATCAGATCAACCGGGGCTGCTGCAAGCCGGGCGGGAGGTTTGGAACGAGGCCTCCACCTTCGACTGACGGCACCCCGCGTAAACCCCGTGGGCTAGTTTCCAACCTTGGGCTCCTCCGGCGGCAAGTTTTCACAGCTTCATTACGGCCAGGGCAGCCGCCAGCAAGGCCGGAACGCGGACAAAGGGAAAAAGAACGGGAGATTTGGATTTTCCAGAAAGCACCACGTGACCCGGAAACTTCGGTTATGGCGGGCAGCTCTGCAAACCAAGGCAAATCGTTCCAAGAGCAAATAACAAATCCCCGAAGAGAAATTCAAAGAAAGGTCTTAACCTTAGGGGCAGCCAACCGTCAGCTTACGTGGGCACGAACGGCATTCTCTGCTGATTAACCTGCCGCCCCCTGGCACGCAGCTGGGACTCGCACCGGAAAGAGGGCACCGAAATCAAAGTCTGGACGCAAGAAAAGCGAGCTTTTTCTTACAAAAAGAAGGGATCCTCGTTAACCACGTCTTGTCTTTTTCACCTCAACGGAAGAAAAGCAAATACAGGCAGGGGGGCGTCTCCCCGTCCCGCCAACGGGGTCTCCTTAGCAGCAAGCTCTGCCCGACGGAGCGGAGCCGCGCCGCAAAGGCTATCCGCAAACCGCTTTGCCCGCGCCTCTGCTAGAAGCGCGCTGGCGGGAGGCCGAGCGACATCAGCGCACGCGGACGGGGACCCCCGGCAACAGGGACGTTATTTTTCACGGCGTTTGCCCCAGCAGCAGATCCTCACGGCAGGCTTGTGTGAGAAACGCTGGAAAAAACAAGGAGGGCCAGAAACACTCCGTCTGCAAATTCTAACTGCGTAAAGCAAAAAGCATCGCGGCACAAATACGCGGGGCCAGCGCCGCTGCGCGGGAGGCGCAGGAAGCCCCGCCGGCACTCCGCGGACAACGCACGGACTGCTGAGCCCGCGGCTCCTGCCTGCGGTCGCCGCTCTCCCGGCGGGGTTTTCCGTGACCGCGTGTCGGGGGCCTCTCCTCCTCCCTCGAAAGGCTGCCGCGGACCTCAGCGGAGCACCCCGCCCAGCTCGGCGCAGCTCCCGCTAGCTCAGCTCCGGGAGGGCACGGCCAGCTTTCCTTCTTCCCGTCCCTTCGCGGGGGGCAACGCTCTCGAGGCCGAGACGGTTTCCGCTGGCGCGCAACACCCAGCGCGGCGTGTCCCTGGGGAAACAGCGGGAGCACGGACAAGGCTGCTCAAACCCTGCCTCAAAACGGAGCACAGAGAGGGTAAATGCTCTTTGAAAGCATCGCAGTGTCAAGGCGGGGCAGTTAAACAGCCTTTGGGTTTTTACCGTTGGAAATGGAGTCGTCTCGGCTTCCAAGACACAAGAGCAGTCAGCCTTTGGAGGACTGCCCCAGGGAAACAGCAGGCAGCCGCGCAACCGTCCCTCCCGCCTCTGCAAGCTTTTGAGCTGTTCCGTCTCACGTTTAAAGCAGGACGTGTATCGAGCGCCTGAACTACGCTACCAGAGCAAGCACTAAAAGCTACAGCGCCGAAGGTGTTCCCGTCGCCTAATGACGACGCCTTTGTAGTCCAGTTTAGACGCAGAGGCTCTCCGCCCGCGCAAGAACAGGCTGGAGCTTTGGTACTGCACGTTTTGAGCAAGTTATTCCGGTTTGGGTACTTTTATTTACCCTCGTACGTTCTCGAGTGGGCTTTGCAGCACTTTGGGAACCAAGCGTACTTCCAAAGCGGTGGCTGTCTCCCCGTGCAGCCCGGCACCGGCTCCGGCCGCGCACGGGACAGCGGAACGAGGCGTCCCCTGCGCCGGCCC